TTTCTTTATTTATGTTCGCCGTATTCTCCAATGCATTGGTTGACACTCTGTCTGCTCACAGTTAAAAGCCAACCAGTGCAATATTATATGTGCTGCAGCGTAATTTGCCGAATGTTCCGCCCCCTCATTGGAGAAAATCATGTTCAAAAAGAAGGCGCGTGACGCTGTAATTCAAGCGATGATAGAAGTAGACATAGAGGAGTGGGATGACTTTCTTTTAGCCTCATTTAAAATTTTTACAATGTTTTTGTAATGTATTAATTATCATGGGCTGTAATAAAAAACAAGTAGTCCTATACTAATACTAAAACGATATAGCCTATACATTTGGTTCGAATAGCCTATATTTTAGTAAACTATAAATATGTGGCTATGTTACAGTTCCCCTTTGAAGCTCTTGTGTTTTTCTCCTTTTCCATCTCTCCAATCCTATTCTGCACACAGGTGATTGGAGATCGCTGCCTCCAGCTAGCGCTGTGACGTCGGCTGATCCTAGTTACCTGTGGTTGGCCTGGCCGTGCGTCACTCAGAAAACAACTGGCCAATCAGAAGAGAGGCTCATGAATATTAATTAGACAGGACAAAATCGACCTGTTCTCAGCAGAGCTTCTGAGAAAGGAGCTGTAAAAATATATTGAGATGGTTTTTGGTACTTATTCCGCAAATATATATTCTTAAGGACATCAAAACCTAAAATAAAACTCCAGAAAGGTGTAAAATATGGGACCTTTAAATCTAATGTTTGTTTAATTTGAAGTCACCATAATGGTGTTTGGTGTTTCCATTAATTGGGCTCATAACTCTTATTACAATTAGATTGTGTTCACTGGCTGTTGAGATGGTGTGTTTATCAAACACATTTGCAGTAGCAAATAAAGACAAAATGAAATCAGGTAATGATAGTCAGCTATTGATGATTCATCATCATAATGAACTACCTGATTTACTAATGTAATTTGATTCTAACGATTGTGTTGTGCCAAAAATATATTTGCTGTGTAAAACTGCAGCGTAAGATGAACAGAATTGCAGAACCAGTTAAAGATAAAAAAAAAAAAAGAGCACAAAAAGTTGAATTCCACTAACACACAAAGTCATCATAAATCAACACATGAACCTCAACAATGGTGACAATAAAAAGCGTAATGTTGCAATGCATGCTGGGTACCATAGTACAGAACTCCCAGCATGCATCACAGCATGAATAAATTATGCAGTTGAATTGTCCTATTATTTTTCTTTAATTCTAACTTTGGTTCACATATTTATTTTGTATTTTTGCTGGGGGTTTTTTTTTTGTCTTTTTGTGATGTCCAGAATTGATCCAATTAGCTGAATATTTTGTCACCATTTTTGAGATTCATACGCTGATTGCTGATATCTGTGTGTGTCAGTGCTGTTCACTTTTCTTTATATCTTCAAACTGATGTTGCAACTCAAGTTGCAGTAACAGGGTTTGTAATGTGAAAGCATTAAAACACACAGCTTTGGGATTCAAATGACTTCAGTGAATCATGCCATTACATGATAATTGTGAAACCGTCAACAGCAAACTACCATGTACTGCAAATGTCTTCACTGTCATAACAGCCAAAGAAAACAAATGATTATTAATAAGAGTTAAGAGCCCAGCTAATTGAAACACCAATCACGATTGTGGTGACTTCAAAAGAAACTAACATTAGATTTAAAACCCCTGTTTATTCTCAATATGAACTTCTATAGACCTCTAACAGAAATAAAGTCAATCTGATTAGTAATAAGTGAAGCTGGAAATGCTGTTTGTGGAGTTGTTTAATCCTCCCCTGCTGAGATCTTCAGAGATTTAATGTATTTTTTCTTCAGCTGAATTCAACTAAGGCTGTGGCTGCAGTCAGTTGTAGTTCTTGAGTTTCTGTTTGTCTCTTTTTTTCAGTTCTCTTCTTTCCTTCAGTGATTTTGCTAGTTAACAAGCTTAGGCCCAATCCCATTTCTACCCATTAGCCCTTCCCCTTTCCCCTACCTCTCCGTTTTGCGCGTTCACGTGAAGGGGTAGGGGTGTCTCAATTCTCTTTTGGTTGGAGGGGTAGGGGTAGGGGAAGGGCCAGACAGCCCTTCAAACGAAGATTTTTCAGGACCACACTTCAAACGAAGGGGTATGAATTATCTCAGCGTAAACTGGCTTCAGCGGCAACATGGCTGCCCGAGCGAACAAAAAGACACATAAATGTGAGCATTTTTGGCATTAATAAAGATGTTAATGAAAGTAATCATTTGTTTTATGTTACACTCAATGATGAGTTCATATTTACAGTCATGTTTAGGGATGCACCGAATGTTCGGCAACCGAAATTATTTGGCAGAAAATAACTCGCGGCGGATCTGCTTGTTAACCAGGGTTCAAAGTCCAAAGCGCGAGGAAAATTTGCGCTGAACCAGTGTTACTCGTCAGTTGCCCAGTCACATTTTTATTAATTTTTACAAGGCATGTGACAATGCGATGCATACGACGTATTCGTAATGAGACTTATTTATAAATCTGCTGTTGTCAACAAAAAGAAGCATTGAGGTCTTCCTGCGCATTTCAGCGAAAATAAAAGTTGAGAAAAAGCAAGAACTCTATCAACATTCATAAATGTTAGTATTGTAATTTTACTGTTGTTCTGTAAAATAAAATAAAAAGTAAGACAATAATAATGATAATAATCATTACAACAGCTCTGTTAGTACATTTATTATAACATTCACACATAGTGTTCAAATATTTTCTAATGTTTTAAAAGAAATCTCTTCTCAGCAAGGCTACTTTTAATTGTACAGTTAAAAAAAAATAAAAATAAATACATGCCTGATTCAAGAAGGGGGTCTGATGGCCAGGCACATGGCACAGACCCAGAGCATCCCAGTGCTGACAACACACGGCGGAATCGAGGGAACGAGGAGCCAAGTTGTAGATGGTGTGGCTGCCAATATCTGTGGGCTGACCGATGGAGACAGAGCTGGTGGTTCCGAAGGCGCAGATGGAGGGCTGATGGAGCTGAGCGTCATCGCAGCTGTAATATTTTCTAATGTTTTAAAATAAGTCTCTTCTCCGCAATGCTGCTTTTAATTGTACAGTAAAAAATACATGCCTGATTCAAGAGGGGGGTCTGATGGCCAAAAAATATTATTTTACTAACTTATTAATTTTAAGCTAAATTTTCTTTGAAAAGCAAGACAAAACAGTAAAAAGCACATTTTAGCTATTTAATTTATGCAATGGTGAAAAAACAATTGGCAAAATACATGGGAGAAAAAACTCGTAAAACCATGTTTGGTATTCGGTATTCTGCCTTTGGCCCAGTGTTTCATTTTGTTCGGTTTCGTCTTCGGCCAAGAATCCCTAGTCATGTTATTCAAAGAAATGTTTGCAAAAAATCACTAAAGTTTGCTTACGTCATATCATTACTGACTGCACGATAGTGCCACAACATATTTTCATGTCTGATCAGGACGATAACCACCATAGACATTGATGGGGGCTAGTCCCCCAATAATTAGAAATCGCTAAACCTTTTTCTCAAATATTGCCAATTCGAGAGAGAGAGAGAGAGAGATGAAAGTTGCGTGTATGCACGTCTGTGCGTCTCTCTTTACAACGAGTGAGTTTACTTCAAAAATAGCGATTTTATCCTCTCATTGCTGGAAAATATAATGTAGCGATTCGATATTTAAACTGTTATTAATAAAAGTCGTGGGGCAGCGTTGACAAGTTTCTTTGCTCCTGGATGTGACAGATCTCCGATATGTGCGTGTGCTTGTGTGTGGGTTCAGTAAGCAAAA